TTTTTTTTTATATTGGATAAATCAATTTCTTTTATTTTTTCTAAACAAATTAATAATTTTTTCTTATTAAATCTTATTAGTTGAACAATTTAAAGTTTATTTATGTCTGTTAGTTGTGTTTTTTTTCAATTTTTTCTTATATAGTTTCTTAGTAGTTAGTATGGAAAGTCAACCAACTAATGATTACATTAAATAGTTGGTAAGTATTATCAATACTTTAAAACATTTTATCTTTTTGACTTCAATTTATGTTTCACTTTTATGTAGACTTGAAAGTTTAAAGCAAATGAATTATTGATATGAATTATCGAAATTTTATTAGTAATATTTACTTTTTGGTATTTGTATTTGACAACTTATTATTTATATGTTATTAAATTATATTACGTTAATTTGTAAAAGTTAAAAAAAATTTAATTATAGTACGAAATCAAACGGAACGGAACGGAACCGAACCGAAACCGATCGGTTCCAAAATTATATTTGGAACCGACGGTTCCATTTACTAAATACCCGAAAATTTCTGGAATAAAAAAAAATCGAATCGAACCGAACCGAACCGACCCGACCTGCGCACACATCTAGCCAACTTAGATCTTGTTTGGCCCCTCATTTCAAAGAAATTATAAATTTTGGAATAGTAATTGATGGTAGAATATGTAGTTGAAAAATAATGAAAAGTTTTAGATTTGTGTGTAATATTATTTTATTTGAAAAATGTGTGGTTAAAATTAAGAAAGAAAAAAATGTAAAAAAAATTAATGGAAGCCAAACACTAGCTTATAATTTTTCCCGAACTTCGAGGACTAATGGTGAAATTCACTTGTTTCATTTGGTTAATAGCCTTTTGTCAAGGACATTACCTAATTCTCCATACAGAAAAATGGCAGCAATCTCCTCCTGTATCCGGTCCCTCTCTAAACCATCTGAACTTCACAGCTCCTCCTCGCCAACCGCTAAAACCCTATCAATTTTCAGTTTTTTACCCGTCTCACTACCTCGACGCCACTTTAAACTCACTGTGCAGTTTCTTCTGAAACCATCCCCAGTCTCTTCTCTCTTCATTAAACCGCCCAAATCCCTCCAACACAATTTCTGCGGCAATGCAATAAAATGCCTTTTCACAGGCATAGTTGAAGAATTGGGCACTGTTAAAAATCTGGGCTTTGACCAAACTAATAGTTTCACCATGAAGATCCAGGCAAAGGTCATGCTTGAAGATATTCACTTGGGCGATAGCATCTCGATCAATGGAACTTGCTTGACAGTTACAGAATTCGACACTGTTTTATCCGAATTCTGTGTTGGGTTATCCCCCGAGACTCTAAGAAAGACTTCTTTAAGTGAATTGGAAAGTGGGTCTTTGGTCAATTTGGAGAGGGCTTTGAGCCCTAGTACTAGAATGGGGGGTCATTTTGTGCAGGGGCACGTGGATGGGACCGGGGAAATTGTGGAGATGGCGCCAGAGGGCGATTCTTTGTGGGTTAAGGTGAAGGTTGGGAGTGAGTTGTTGAAGTACATTGTACCTAAGGGGTTTATTGCTATAGATGGGACTAGCTTGACTGTGGTGGATGTGTTTGATGATGAGGAGTGTTTTAATTTTATGTTGGTGGCATATACACAGCAGAAAGTGGTGATCCCTTTAAAAAAGGTTGGGCAGAAGGTTAATTTAGAAGTCGATATTTTGGGAAAATATGTGGAGAGGCTGCTGAGTAGTGGATTTGTTGATTCTATCAAATCTTCGTGACTTGGGGAGGTGAAGGTACTTTCCTCGTGTGTTTTTTGTTTCGCTTGTATTCATTTTTTGTATTGTTGTATTGCTACATTTTGGAATCGGATTTGGAACTTCTATTCAACTATTTATATAAATGAGAATAATTTGAAGTAATAATACATTATGTGGTTGTTTAATTCTGATTGAAATATTCCATTTGTTTGTTGGGGAATACACATTGAAATTTCTGTAGTGAATAATGTGATATTTCTTTCACCTGGTTGGAGCATGTCTACCCAGCTTGTTATGGGAGGTTTATGTGGAATATTGGATATTAGGTGAACATTACAATTTGGTTACGTGGTTACTAATTATATTTATCTATATTGTGTTTGTTTTAGAAGTTACACTGTTAAATTTTTTTTATTATGGATTTTTAAGATGGTAAATGGTTTATTATGAGCATATTTTTGTGTTCTTATATTCTTTTGAATTATTTTCTAAAGACTTGTGCCGCAAAATGCATCAATACTCGATTGAGCCTTTCTAAACATTGAATGGAAAGAAGTGTTCATACTGAAAGGTACATAACTGCTATGAGTTGTGTTTATAGGTTTTATTATGGCTAAGGTTTTTATATTGATGGAGCCAAAGTGGCCAAACTAAAATGGTGGATCTAGCACTTGTTCATTTGTATGGGCAAGTGGGAGAATGATGGTCGTGTCTAACTTAACATGTTCCACTTATACTTATTTTTTTGTTAAAATGTTAAGGCGATTATTAAGTCTAACATATAAGTGTAACGATGAGTTAACTCACTCCTCTTATGCCTTAGCTCATAACCATTAAAAAAAAAAAAGACAAAAAGGAAAAAAAAAAAAAGAGTTTTGCTTTCTCCACTGCTGCTGGAACTGTCCACTGGTAAGCATAAAGCTTTTTAACTGTATATCTTTTGTTTATTGTTCTTAGTTATGCCCAAAATTTAAAAAAAAAAAAAATGTAGGCACCTTTTCCTTCATTGTTGTTGTTTCATGTCGAAATTGTAGCAGCCCAGTTTGGGCTTGCCAAACCTAACTGCATCATTTAATCCCATTTGCTCACCTTCCCTTATACAGCTCTACTCATCTGACCTTCAGCCGAAAATATAACAAACCACAGCTTTATCTAAACCTAATCCCACACATCCAAAGTTAGCCTATAAAATCTATAAGCCGCATAAAACCTAGCCCATAACCTGAAACCTACCCAAACCTAGATACCCAAAGCACACATCAAGCTAACACAATAACCAAATATCCGAACCACTAAACTTTAGCCCACCACCCATTATCCTAGTCCAAATACCTATCTAATATCACGACTCAACACCCAGAACCCACACAATAAATTATAGGAAGTTCTTAGTCAAAGATACTGATTATCAATGGTACCGCTCATAGAGTTACTGTTCAGAAAATTAGAGAAAAGAAAATTTTACATAAAAAGAAAGCAGAATTTCTAAGATAAACTATAGTCCACAAAATGTTGTGGGGTACCCTATAAAACATTTGAATAATAGACGATGGCATGTGGGAAAAAGCATCTTCACCCTACACGATCTCTTGATGAACTTTTTCCTTTGCTTGAACAAAGTCAGAATTTGCTCTCAAACGTGGAACAATCACGTGCCATATCCATGCTCAAAGCTCTTTCTCCACTGATGAATGCACTGGTTGCAAATGAGCTATTGAAGCATCCATATGTTGCTATCAAAGTGGAATTGCTTCTTCCATAAGCTAATTGATCAGAATTACTACACTCGATACCCATGTTGTTGATGAGAAAATGAAGGATATCTTTTAACTAATTGTATCATCATTATTCATTTGCACTTTTCTCTGACAAATCTAGCTGATGTATGTTAAGAGGGCCATGATACTTGAAACTATGGCTAATGTAAGGTATTATGTCATCGTGTTGGATCTAAAATTTGAACAACTGATGATGGAAATGTTTCAACATTTTCTTAAAGCTCTAAGGGATTATCATTTAGAGAATATTCTCAAATCCATGGAGTATTATGACTTTTATATTTGAAGAAAGCTTACCCTCATTTTGGTTAATGTGCAAAACAACATTGAGGATCATGTTGCAATGAATTTGGTAGATAGACGATTTGAGAAATGCCCAGTCAAGCTCCAACCCTTACTTGAGAGAAACTGTAAAATCTTTGGGTTTTGTTTGGATGATTATAGTGAAGTTCTCTCTTCTGTGTGCAAAAGGACTAATGGTATTGTTGATTGGAATAGCAGCATCACATATGGAGACAAGTTGATTACTGAGAGGAGGTCAGCTAGTGCCTCCGCAGAGGTGGCTCTGGTAACTCAGGAAACTAAAGATGTTAATGAATGGATAAGTCTTGAAGGAGGTAACTCCAATGTTAATATGCCACCAAAATTAATTGTGAGTAAAGATGAGATTAAGAAAGGAGGAACTTTGACTTGTGAATATTTTTAGAAGGCAATAATTCAAGAGACTTTGATTCAACTTTCCCCAACCAAAATATCTGAAAACAAGCTACTGATGTTGCAATCCTTTGTTTTTGCAAAGCCAGTGTACCGTGCTTGTCCAACGTACTCATTATGTTGATTCAATTTTTGTAGATAAGTTGCACAGTTTGTTGATATCAAGAACTTATTGTCAATACTAGGTTAAAAGGAAAGATCATTTTCTTTGGTTAAATGATGTTATTGTGAATGATTTGCAGATCATACGGTCAATGTTGTTATATCGTTATTTGGTCAACAAAAAGACCACCCTACTTGGATAAGAAATTACATTTTATCTCGTCGAAGTCAAATTCTGTCAGGAAAGAGAGATGCTAGAGATCCTATTAGATATATTATGTAAAAAATTTCCAAGATTCGCTTCTTAATTTAGGAAAAAATAAATAGGGCTTAGTTTTATAGATTTGCTAGTATTTTATTAGTTGTTTCGAACTTAAGTTAGATTAGTTTCAACCCTACTTAAAGGGAGCTTATGTATTGTAATACTTAAGACTTTTGATGAATTAAATAAACAACACTTTCTTCCCCAATTTCTTCTTTAGGCGTATCCCCTTTCTCCTCCTCATCTCCTCTCTCCGTCTATAATTCTGGTTCTTGTTCATGGCATCCTCCGCCAACTAGTCTCTATACTGCACAATATTGGACCTTTTAAAATATCAAGTCTGGAAATGAATAGGATAGTCCATCTTTTGAAGAACCAAATGGTATTTGTGGGTGATCATGTGAAGGAATGTGCAAGTTCCTGTTAAAGCTGACCTCAAATACTCTTTAAGTTTGATAGATTTGGAGTTATAATGTAGCAGACTAATTCATGCTGCCACTGTAACCAAATTAATCATTTATATACTTGGAGATTCTAAATTTATTGGAAGGGAATCAAACTTTTCTAATATGTAAGGATCATTACTTATGCTGCTGATTGATTGCATAGAAGGCTTGATTCCATCTTCACATGGGAGCTGGAGATTATGTAATGGAAAGAAAGTTTTTTGTCGGTATATGTATGATCACGCATTAGGAGTTTTAGATTGATGATTAGACAATCAGTTGAAGAATCCTGTTGTAGTATACAAATATGAATAAAATGTCAGTTATTGGGATGAAAGTTGAGTTGTTGACATAAAATTCTGAGCATACATGTGGGTCATGCTTTTTTGATCATGAAGTTTCTGGTAACTAACATTTGAATCTGAAATGAAAAGAAAATCTGTTAATTTCAGAAACCATCTTCCTACTGCATGGTCTTTAGCAATTGATGAATGCAACAAAAGATCAAGCATACATAGAAAGTCAGTCAAATATTGTGATTATTATTGTGGTTAGCAGAATATTTCACATGCATTATGAAGATTCTATTGACATGATATGATTACGTGTTTAAATGAAGAGGACAATAATAGTTTCCCAAAGTATCTGGTTAGAGATGTTGACATGCCACCGACTCGGAGGCTTGTTTCTTCTCAAGTAGTTTGTTCTGCAAGACGGGACTGCCATGAAACACCTTATTAGTAGATGAATACAACAGTTGGGAATATTAGTATCACTCAATTCATCTCGGATTGGATAGTGAAAATGATCTGGAATGAAGTTTGAGGACATGGATGGCTGGCTGGCTTGTAGCCTAAACATTTGGATGAAAACTCATAAGTTTTTTCTTGTAATGAAGAGGCAACCTTTTTGGAATAAAAACGGCTCCATATGTGGGTCTCCTGGACATTTTGAGAACCAAGACAAAAGTGCTGAACTTTCATCTTGAATACTGTGGGTTTCTTTTATGTTTACGAGTTTTTTTTGCATTTCTGAAAGAGTAGTAGTCTCTCACTGAAAATAGGTTCGACAGCAGATCTCTAACTTGTGAAAATAGATCTTCCTTTTTTTTTTTTGGCTTAGTTCACTACCTGCGTAGAATCATTTTGTCTCCACACGGTTGCCAAATATTGAATAATGTCTAAATTTTTTCCTGTACATTTCTTTTCAGCGTCTCTAGTTCATGGTACATTCGGGCCTGTAAATCTTGTTCGATGGGAATAGATTAACTCGGTTCCCGGAGTCAATGAAATATTTTGATTCAGACACATCACATACGAGCTTAGAGGACATCCAAAGATTAGGTTTTTTTAGTCATTTGACATATTTTTAGTTGCCAAAACTAGAAGGGTGCTAAATCAAAAGTTAGAATTGTTCGAGAGAACTTTTGAATGTAAAGGTTTTTGTTTTAGAGCAAAGTACATGCAATATGGTTTTAGTTATAACAATAATAAGAATAATAATGAACTCATTGAAAAGGATCCAATGCATAGGATCATGGCTGATTGGATGAAATGGATAGTTGTTAATATGAACTTTGTTCAACAGGCGGATTCCTATAATGTTAAAATCTCGAATTGTTATGTTTGTTATACTTTATGGTACTGAGTTTTGGGTTGTTGAAGCACAAAAAATTGGTAAGATGAGCACGGTGGAATGAATATATTAAGGTGGTAATGG